GTGTGACTGACTGACTTACTGAATGACTTTAAGTTAGACACTCCAGTACAACCATCAACTTCAGTACCAGAACCTTTACCATCCACCTCAGCCCAGTAGGGCCACAACATAACTCTCCACTCTCTTCACAATCATCTTCTAACACCAGCACCCACAATTTAAGCTAAGAAATACTATTATTTCTGTTACATTTATAGTCTTAACCATAATACATTGCAACTATGACCTACAATTACATATTCACTTATGCATTTGTAAGATGTGGAAGCCTAAAAAAAAGTTGTTTGGCTTTTTTGGGGCTCCCAGGAATGTAACCCTATTTTAACCATAAGTTCTTCAGTTCATCTAATATGGTTTTACCTAACACACCATTTTCCAGAACATAACTACCGTGTTAAATGACGGTCTACTGTATTCAACACAAAAAACCCTTAACCTATTACTATGTATAATTTATATACATGATACTCAACACAAATATTAACCCAGCACTCAAATTCTTCTTGGAGAGCTACACACAATACAATAGGGCCTCGCTCTACGGGATTTTGCCTTACGACATTCTGCTAATACGGCGATTTCAAATTATGACCAAAATTTGCTATATGGCGAGCGGTCTTTCAAATATGGCACACCCCACTAGGTTTGTTTACATTCTCTATGAGCACATATCTATTATTTCTGGAAATTTTCCAAAACTTCAAGTGTTTCAAAGTTATTGCATATTTTATATTACTCTGATAATTATACTTATGTGTACCTGTGCCTAAATATACTTACACACTGTGCTGGCATGCAGGTGCACATTAAAATCACTAAGAGTTTCTCTACTCGACGCCATATAATAATCTCTTGGGTACATTAAATATCGTATAGTACATTAATATAGACATTTCCATTAACCCTTTCAGGGTCGACAGGCCCTCTCAGAGACTTGTTCTCAGGGTCGGCCAAATTTAAAAAAAAAAAATTATTTTTTATGAAAAGATAGAGAATATTTTCCCGATCATAATGACACCAAAAGTATGAAATTTGATGGAAAACTTACGGAATTATGCTCTCGCGAAGTTAGCGGTCTTGACGATGTTTACGCATCAGCGATTTTGCCCATTTTGAGCCCTATTTTCGGCCAATTCCAGTGTACTTGTCGACAAAAATCATAACTATTTTGCTAGAACTCCATTTTTTCTTTCGAAGGAGTACAAGAAACCACCCATTTACCGATTTCAACTATCCAATACAGTGGTCAGAATTTAGCAATTTTGCCAATTTCACACAAATTTCAAAAGATGCCAATTTCTGAATAGGGTCCAGAATAAACAAGAAAGACATTCTTGGCACTAAAATAACATTTCCTCTGTTCATTAGTCACGTCCCCATGCCCCTCTTACATTCTTTTGCTTTCCACTTTGAATTTTTATTCTCACAAAAAAGTAGAAGATTTACTGTTATGCAGACTACTGCATTGGTGTAGAAATGGTATAAATAACATCAGCGCACTTGTGAAACAATATTAGACTCACCAGTTGACGTGTATTGGACGCATAGCATGGTTTGTTTACTTTTAAACTTTGGTAAAAATCAAACATTTCTGCTACTTTGAGCTCAATTTCAAGTTACTTTTCTTTGTAAAACCAGTCAAAATCATCTCAATTTCTGTAATATGTCTTCCATTCTCTAAAATGAGACAAGGAAAACTAGAATACAACAATAAATACCATACGAAAATACAGTGCAAAGTCGCTGTTTTAATCCAAAAATACGGTCTAAGTTTTTTTTTCTCATTACGCACTGTGTGCTGCAGGATCTTTTTTATACTGCGCACACTGACCACATAGACCCATTCTTTCATATGCAGGCCTACCAGCTTTCTCACTAGATTTGAGGGCGCTAGAATTTAGGTGTACTAGTACGTCAAAAACCCTGGCGCGTAAGCCTTACTAGTACGGCCGAAACCCTGAAAGGGTTAACCCTTAAACGGTCCAAACATATACGCTTACGCGAGTAGCGCCCCAAACATATATATACGTTTTCTTTGTCATTCATTCAACATTGCCACAATAAGCCTGAGTCACCTAGACATGAGAGAATGGGTGTGTGCACTCACTGTGTTTCATATTAAAATAATTGGGGATGCCTGGGTACCATATGCTCTTTTTTCCTTTTAAAAGAAAAGATTTTTTTTTCCTCAAAAAATTTGGGGCGCTACGCGAGTGAACGTATATATGCGTTTGGACCGTTTAAGGGTTAATCCATCTATGATATTTTTTTCAAAATTATATAATATGCATGCTGTGTAACATATAAACATGATACATACACCAACAGTATAAAAATTGACATAAATATGAGATTTGTTTATTAAGCGATTCGTGGTAGTTGGAAGAATTACGTTTTCTCTAGTCAAACACCAGTAACTTAACTAGAAATTTATTCATTTCGTATGCCTTCACTCTATCTATAGGTACACCTACCATCCGACTTACGACCTGCTCGACTTACGACCACTCGACTTACGACCGTGTTTTTTATGCCAAATTTCTGGGAAATAAACAACTATTTGTGTTGTACACAGTGTTTATCCTAAATATTACAGTATAAAATACAGTACTAACAGCATAAAAAGTAAAGTAAAACATAAAAACAATAAAATAAAGTCATTACAAAAATGTTTTGTTGATATTCAGTAGTAAAGTTCGACTTACGACCATTTCAACTTACGACCGGTTTCTCGGAACCGAACTCGGTCGTAAGTCGGATGGTAGGTGTATTCACAACTTTTGTGGGTTTTGTGCTTCTGTTTTATTATGATTATAATAATAATAACTTGTAATAATAATATGTAATAATAATAATAATAATTTGTCAGAGCATCATTCCTTCTAAAAATTACATGAGAATAGAAGTGTTGGTCTTTCTTTATTCTACTGTACCACTGTGGAGACAACTGGTACACAATGTAAAGTGTTTGTATTATGATAAAAGCTTTACAAATATGGAAATGAACGTGTATCAGCCCACCTGCCATGTTCGTCTGTTTACATAATCTCCGGCTCTGTCCTCTCTCATTTACTTGTTCTCTCTCTCATTTATTCATTTTTATATCGTTTACTCGCCTCTCATCCTACATTAAGACTACAGATATTTTAAGGTAAGTAATGAGTGTACTGTATATGCATTTTATTGCTCTAGGGAGCTTTAACCCTTAAACTGTCCAAACGTAGATATAGTACATTGACGTGCAGCAGGCCCTGAACGTAGATCTACGTTTTTTTTTTTTACATGCTTTCAAATGGGGAGAATCAAGGTCAGAGCGCTACGCACATGAATGTAGATCTACATTTGAACAGTTTAAGGGTTAATTGTCGTAGTGGGTGGGGTGGCCAGGCAGGATGCCATACCTCCCACACGACTTACTACAAATAAATACTTTTCACCTCTTACCTTACATTAAGATTACAAATATTTTAAGGTAAGTAATGAGTGTACTGTATATGCATTTTATCACTCTAGGGAGCTTTAGGCATCATTGTAGTATATTATGTGTGGGTGGGGTGGCCAGGAGGTCTACCATACCTCCCACACCTGACTTTTACAATAAATACTACTAACCTTTTGCCCTACATTAAGACTACAAATATTTTGAGGTAAATAATGAGTGTACTGTGTGTGTGTATTTTACTTCTTATTGTTTTTTAATGCCTAGTTCTATTGCTAACATAATATATGTTAATGTAAACTTGTTATCTGGCATTTATATGCTTTTATATTTGGGAAAAATGGCGTTCTGCTTTCTGGCAATGTCTACTTTCCGGCAGTAGCCTGCAACCTAACCTGCCATATAAGTGGGGCCCTACTGTACTTTGACATAATGCAAGAAATGAGTATCCTTTTGATAGATGACGTGTTAGACTCAACCTTTTCAGATACTCAGTGCAAATAACAGGCCCAAAAATATGGAACTTTATACCTGAAGATGGGAAAAGTATCCAGTTTTCTAGGTGCTTAAAAATGTTGTTATAAAACACTTGTTAATTTTTGCTATTTCAACATTCATGCCATACTGAGCTCGGCCATGGGCCAGGCTCGTCTGGTGCTTGCCTAGTCAACCAGGCTGTTGCTGCTGGAGGCCTGTTGCCCCACATATCCATCACAGCCTGGTTGATCTGGCACCTGGTGAAGTTAGTTGTCCAATTTCCTCTTGAAGGCTTCTACACTTGTTCCGGCCATGTTTCTGATATCTTCTGGTAAGATGTTGAATAGTCTGGGACCCTGGATGTTAATACAGTGTTCCCTTATTGTTCCCACCACACCCCTGCTCCTCACTGGGTTTATTTTGCACTTCATCACATATGTTTATTGCCACTATGTTATCATCCCCCAGTAATTATTATACCTAGATATATCATTCTAGTTGTGTTTTACTATCTCTATATATTTTAAAATATTATATAATGTGTAGCATTCAAATTATCTCAAATTTCATCTCTTCATTGTCAAGTAGTGTTGTATACTTAGTCTACTTTTAATTCTCTACATTACCAGGGGCTTTCTACAAAGTTTATGTATTATATACTTCTCGGAAGTAAACAGTTCAATTTAATTTAGTGTATCTGAAATGACTAGAAATTTTTCTTGAATAAAATTGAGCAGTGTGTAAGTTCTGTAAAGCAAATTTTCAGGGCGATGAAATCATGCACAAAAAGTAAACCATTTGTCTTTTTATTTGTTTTCATTCTGTCTTTCTTTGGGTCTTGCCAATATTGTTAGCTGGAGTTGGTACCAGTGATGGTGCTGCTGTTATTTGAACTGTTCTTGTGATATCTGGGGGTCACTATTCTCATGGCCTTGTCCTAGACCAGACATCCTTGGACCAGGGTTGTAGTCTGTTATTTAGTTTACAAATTAGAAGTTGTAATTGTTATTTTCTGTGTTGCTCTTATACTTATTACAATTTTTAATTTAGTTGTATATTTATTTCATTTAATTTTCTTGCTCAGGACTTGTGACAAATGATGAGACGAAGATCATCTAGACGTGTTGTGGCAAGTGATCGACACACACGTGCTGAGACAGGAGTAGCAGACCAAGCAGATCCTCTGTCTGCTTCTAGCAGTTCTGCTACAAACTTTGACACACATGATAGATATAGACTCTACCTTCAATTTTGCCAGCAAGATGCCCTGCCTCCACTTCAACCAATTACATCATTTTCGCCCATGCAAAGTGAGTAGTGCTAATATTTTTAAGGACCACAGCAAAGGTTTGAGTAGTGATTCATATTTACTGGTGAATTATGCCCCAGTTTTGTTTATGGTTTTGAAAACCAAGACACACAAGGAAAGCTGCATGAGCAATATATCGTATCCTCGAAGAACACGGAACAAGAGGTAATACAGCCTCTCCCCACTTAGTGATGTACCACAGTGGACCCTCGGGTAACGGCATTAATTCATTCCAGAGAGCTTGCCTTTAACCGATTTTGCCTTTACCCGAATTAATTTTCCCCATAAGAAATAGTAGGAATCCAATTAATCCGTTTCAGACAGCCAAAAGTATTAACAAAAAATATTTTTTTTAAAGATTAAATATAGATATACATACAGAAAATAATGACAAATAAATATAAAGCACTAATAAAATGGATAAATGAACATAGAGCATCACACCTTTATTGACTCTTGTTGGTGTAGGAGGTAGGTAGGAGGCAAGAGGAAGGAGAGTTTATTATGCTTCAGTATGATGCTAATATCATCTCTACGGCTTATTTATCTATCACAATTCATCTAATATGACATAATAAACAATATTAATAACAAAGAAACATGATATATACTCTAGAATGAATAAAATGTCATAATGTGTGAGAGGAGTAAAGTGATGTAAGTGGTGTTGTTGGGTTTATAAAAGCCACTGAGAGAAGCCATGCATAGTGGTGGTGGAGGTGGAGGCACCAGCAGAACCCACCAACACTATCACACTTAATGTATTTACATGTAATTTATATGATAGAGTGGATAGGGGAGCAATGTGGCAGATGTTGCAAGTATATGGAATAGGTGGTAAGTTACTAAATGCTGTAAAGAGTTTTTATGAGGATAGTGAGGCTCAGGTTAGGGTGTGTAGAAGAGAGGGAGACTACTTCCCGGTAAAAGTAGGTCTTAGACAGGGATGTGTAATGTCACCATGGTTGTTTAATATATTTATAGATGGGGTTGTAAAAGAAGTAAATGCTAGGGTGTTCGGGAGAGGGGTGGGATTAAATTATGGGGAATCAAATTCAAAATGGGAATTGACACAGTTAATTTTTGCTGATGATACTGTGCTTATGGGAGATTCTAAAGAAAAATTGCAAAGGTTAGTGGATGAGTTTGGGAATGTGTGTAAAGGTAGAAAGTTGAAAGGGAACTTAGAAAAGAGTAAGGTGATGAGGGTATCAAATGATTTAGATAAAGAAAAATTGGATATCAAATTGGGGAGGAGGAGTGTGGAAGAAGTAAATGTTTTCAGATACTTGGGAGTTGACGTGTCGGCGGATGGATTTCTGAAGGATGAGGTTAATCATAGAATTGATGAGGGAAAAAAGGTGAGTGGTGCATTGAGGTATATGTGGAGTCAAAAAACATTATCTATGGAGGCAAAGAAGGGAATGTATGAAAGTATAGTAGTACCAACACTCTTATATGGGTGTGAAGCTTGGTGGTAAATGCAGCAGCGAGGAGACGGTTGGAGGCAGTGGAGATGTCCTGTTTAAGGGCAATGTGTGGTGTAAATATTATGCAGAAAATTCGGAGTGTGGAAATTAGGAAAAGGTGTGGAGTTAATAAAAGTATTAGTCAGAGGGCAGAAGAGGGGTTGTTGAGGTGGTTTGGTCATTTAGAGAGAATGGATCAAAGTAGAATGACATGGAAAGCATATAAATCTATAGGGAAGGAAGGCGAGGTAGGGGTCGTCCTCGAAAGGGTTGGAGAGAGGGGGTAAAGGAGGTTTTGTGGGTGAGGGGCTTGGACTTCCAGCAAGCGTGCGTGAGCGTGTTAGATAGGAGTGAATGGAGACGAATGGTACTTGGGACCTGACGATCTGTTGGAGTGTGAGCAGGGTAATATTTAGTGAAGGGATTCAGGGAAACCGGTTATTTTCATATAGTTGGACTTGAGTCCTGGAAAGGGGAAGTACAATGCCTGCACTTTAAAGGAGGGGTTTGGGATATTGGCAGTTTGGAGGGATATGTTGTGTATCTTTATATGTATATGCTTCTAAACTGTTGTATTCTGAGCACCTCTGCAAAAACAGTGATTATGTGTGAGTGTGGTGAAAGTGTTGAATGATGATGAAAGCATTTTCTTTTTGGGGATTTTCTTTCTTTTTTGGGTCACCCTGCCTCGGTGGGAGATGGCCAACTTGTTGAAAAAAAAAAAAAATATTTACATTTTAATTTATAAATAAGTTAGTTTATTCAGGTATACACAAATACAGTTACATACATAGATTATCATACATAGCAGCATATGTGTAAGGTACCTAGGATAACCCAAAAAAGTCAGTGACTTGCTTCCATTGGGGTCCTTTTATATGTACACTTATATTTACTTTTATACTTAAATTTTTATATTTACACTTACCTTGGAGGAGATGTTAGTTTGGAGGAGATGTTAGTTTAATTAGTAAGTTTGATGGAGATGTTGGCACAGGTTTAGGGTGGTGGAAGATATCAGGCCGGCGTATATTCAGCGGCCCGATACACATCCAGCAACATTGATGAGCTACTTTCGTGTCGTTTTTCTATCGTTTACTCGCTTAACTTACTTGTCACACTGTTAATTCTACACTTTATCGCTGGCTGGCACTGTAGCCTTTATCAATACCTGCTGCTTTAGTATCATACATATTGTAGAATCACTGAATAATTGCAAAAGGCACATTCACCCCTATCTCTCTTCCTCCTCCACTTTGGTACTTTCTTACAAGTTTTTTCTTGAATTCTATTGTGCTTCTTTCCTTCTTTACCACAGGGTTGGCACTAGAAGCTTTCTTTGGGCCCGTGGCAGCTTATTTAGCAGTTACAAGCGCTAAAAACAATGGAATAATACAAAATACAGTGGACCCCTGCCTTACAAACGCATCGCTTTACGTTAAATCCGCCATACGTAGCATTTGAATGCAAAAATTTTTCCTCGCCTCACCCTAAAAAACTTGCCTTACGTGATTCGTCTGGGACGCGTCCCACGTGTGGCCTCAGCTGCCCCATGGGTGCCAGTGTTTACAAGCCAGCCAGTGCGGTCACATCCAAGCATACATTCTGTACATTTCACCTTATCCCAGTGTTTTTTGTGCTTGTAACTGCAAAATAAGTCACCATGGGCCCCAAAAAAGCTTCTAGTGCCAACCCTGTGATAAAAAGGGTGAGAATTAGTATGGAAATTAAGAAAGATTTTGAAGGGTTTGGGGCTAGCCCTGAGAATCCATTGTGCCTACTTCAAGGATTAAAGAAATGTGTGCAAAGTGGGTTGAACTGCAAACCTTTATGGATGAAAATCACCCTGACACAGCTATTGCAAGCCGTGCTGGTGACTATTACAATGACAATGTTGTGGCCCATTTTAGGCAAATCTTAAAGCAACAGGAGGTACAGACCTCTATGGACAGATTTGTTGTGCGAACGAGGTCCAGTGACTCACAAGCTGGTCCTAGTGGCATTAAAAGAAGAAGGGAAGCAACCCAGGAAAAGGACTTGCTACCTCAAGTCCTAATGGAAGGGGATTCTCCTTCTAAACAATAACTTCCACACTATCCCATCCTATCAATCATCACCAGATCTTCAATAAAGGTAAGTGTCATGTATTCTATTTTTAGTAGAGTACATGTCTTCTTCAGTTTGTGTGTATTAAAATTAATATTTCATGTGGTAAAAAAATTTTTTTTTTCATACTTTGGGGTGTCTTGCATGGATTAATTTGATTTCCATTATTTCTTATGGGGAAAATTAATTCGACTAAGGATAATTTCAGCTTACGATGAGCTCTCAGGAACGGATTAATATCATAAGGCGGGGATCCACTGTATATCGCATAAATGCGAGGAACCGTACTCCCTGACTTGTAAACAATGGCACACTGGCTTTACATCGGCTCAGGCCGCGTGGACACATTCAGGATGAATGCACTTAACCGAGTTTTTGGGCGTTAGCCAAGCCAATATTTCGACACAAAAATGTGCCGATATCTGATTTTGGTAGGTAGTAGGTTGGTAGACAGCAACCACCCAGGGAAGTACTACCGTCCTGCCAGATGACTGTGAAACAGAAACCTGTAACTGTTTTGCATGATGGTAGGATTGCTGGTGTCTTTTTCTGTCTAATAAACACGCTAGATAACAGGGATATCTTGCTACTCCAACTTGCACTTTGGTCACACTTCACAGACATGCACATGCATATATATATACATACATCTAGGTTTTTCTCCTTTTTCTACATAGCTCTTGTTCTTCTTTATTTCTTCTATTGTCCATGGGGAAGTGGAAAAGAATCTTTCCTCAAGTCATGCGTGTCGTATGAGGCGACTAAAATGCCGGGAGCAATGGGCTAGTAACCCCTTCTCCTGTAGACATTTACTAAAAAAGAGAAGAAGAAAAACTTTATAAAACTGGGATGCTTGAATGTGCGTGGATGTAGTGCAGATGACAAGAAACAGATGATTGCTGATGTTATGAAAGAAAAGAAGTTGGATGTCCTGGCCCTAAGCGAAACAAAGCTGAAGGGGGTAGGGGAGTTTCGGTGGGGGGAAATAAATGGGATTAAATCTGGAGTATCTGAATGATCAGTTATGGAAGGAGAAAAGAGAATATGAATGTGTAAATGCAAGAATTATGTGGATTAAAGTAAAGGTTGGATGCGAGAAGTGGGTCATAATAAGCGTGTATGCACCTGGAGAAGAGAGGAATGCAGAGGAGAGAGAGAGATTTTGGGAGATGTTAAGTGAATGTATAGGAGCCTTTGAACCAAGTGAGAGTAATTGTGGTAGGGGACCTAAATGCTAAAGTAGGAGAAACTTTTAGAGAGGGTGTGGTAGGTAAGTTTGGGGTGCCAGGTGTAAATGATAATGGGAGCCCTTTGATTGAACTTTGTATAGAAAGGGGTTTAGTTATAGGTAATACATATTTTAAGAAAAAGAGAATAAATAAGTATACAAGATATGATGTAGGGCAAAATGACAGTAGTTTGTTGG